TAAATAGAGATAGCTTGTAAAAGCTTCCACTCGTAACAGATAAGTCCAGACCCAAATTGTTCTCAAATGTCTTTACCTACCCAAGTTGTTCTCCATGTCTTTACCTAAGTTTGTCTTTTAGCTTAGAGGATACATATAAACGACTTAAAAAAGTTGGTCCTGAAAAGATATTTTCATGCTTTTTTTTAAGTCTCAACAATCGTGCCAAAAATTAATTAAGAGTTAGGCGAGAGATGGATTTCTTGAGTTGCATTCTACTGTGTCTTATAGTTGCCTGGATCTCAATCCATGCCCTCTATCATTCATTTGCAAGAACAAGTCCCAAAAAGCTTCCATCTGGACCAAAGCCACTTCCTTTCATTGGAAATCTTCTAGAGCTTGGAAACCAACCCCACCTCTCCCTAACTAAGCTTTCACAACGCTATGGCCCCGTTATGACTTCACATCTAGCCCAAATCACAACTGTTGTAGTTCCTTCATCCGCCATAGCTAAACAAGTCCTCCAAACCCATGACCAATTGTTTTGCAACGGAACAGTATTAGATTCAGTCCAAGCCTGTAAACATGGCGAGAACGGCATGCCCTGGATACCTGTTTCCGCTAAGTGGAGAAACCTTCGCATAATATGCAACTCCCAATTGTTCGCCACCAAAGTTCTGGACGTCAGCCAAGCCAACCGTCACCTAAAAGTGCAAGAGCTCATAGTTGATGTCCATGAAAGCGTTGTAGAAGGTGATGCAGTGGAGATTGGAAGGGCTGCTTTCAAAACTACGCTGATATCAAACTCTCAAAAGTATAAATTCCATAACAAAATCTCATAATCTCATCAAGACCCAAAATAATTCAAATAATAAACAAAACTTGTTTACACATACAATTTCCATAAAATACTATATTTCACAATTAAAACCACAATATACTTTCATAAACAAACCCAATATCACCCAATCCATATACTTTAATAATAATCATAATAATGATCCCTAGAAACCCTCGTATCCTCATTAACCCAAATTAAATCAATTATCAATCAAAACACATTTATGCAAGCAATTCCATATTTCAAAAATAATGTTCATTTAAAATAATGTCCACTCACATGAAGTCCAATGCTGCTCTGGAATACACAAAGCAAGAGTACCTATTCGAGAGAATAAACGGACTCAATTAATATGCCTACCCAACAACGAACTTTAACTCAAAATGATAGCTCCCGGGTCTCAAAGTAAGTGTGCACGACTATTGGGGAGTTCTTAAGGTCAATCTAATACTTTTTGAAAGGTTAAACTACCTTGGAAGACTCATGATCAATCGAGTGGTCAAACTTCCCAT